ACGCGGACCTCGCCCGGAAAACGGAACGAGGATGAAAGCCTGGTTGTCTCCCGCACCAATAAGAGGCCCGAGCGAAATGTTAGCTCAGTGGCCCAGAATATCAGTATCCATGTCCCAATGGACACGGATCCCGCACCGCCGTCATCGGATCCACCGGCCCGATCTGACGTAAGCACCACTACAGCGGACTTCGACCCATACAAGTATGCCGCAGACCAAGGCGTCAACATCCGGCCACGTCCCCATCGGGAGGTGACGGACTACATCATGAAGGCCATTCCGTACCCACGGACTAAATGGGCCTAGATCGACGCCATCATCCAGGACCTGCAGAACTTTGTCAGGTCGTCCGGACTTGAACGGGAGTTCCAGCGAAAGGACTGGCCCCATACTTTCACCATGGAGGACCATATCGCAAACCGCTAAGGCTACCCGATTGTCCGAGTAATGCACTATCGTGCGCAACGGACGTTAACCTGCTGGGTGAGCCTATTACACGTCCGGACTGGAATGACTTGTGCGAACTGCACATACGCGATAACCAGTTGGATGTTGTCAAGTATCTGGCTCAGTTCGTCCTACCGGACGCGAACGCCACATTCCGCGCAGACCGGAAAACTATGAAGAGGCCCCAACGGGGACCTATAATTACACATGGAACGGGACGGTCATCCGCATGTTCGCGGCCAGACTTGGCCACATGCGAAGCCATTGGGAACTTGAAGTTGCCTACCGGCAAGGGAAGATCATCCCCCAGCTTCTCACCCACATGGTTCTGCTTAGAAACCACATCCACGAAATTGCAGCAGGAGTCAAGATCCAGAGCGCACTGAATACTTTCAGGAGTCGCGCCAAGGAGTATGGTTACAGCCAGCCGAAGGATCATGACGATGCAGCGGAGTCGTTCGTTAACCGAACGGCCGCGCGAAAACTTCCAACGAAGTTTCGCACCCAGCGCTCGGCGGTATCGTCTTCGCAGAACCAGTCTCCGGCTGGCCAACACGGCCAAGAAGTCCAACCAGCCAACGTTGGTACAACTGAACAGGAGTTGGCACTGATGGAAGAAAGCGTCGTCGACCCACTGCAACCAGAAGGGGCCGGCGAGCGCCACGACCAAGGAGACGCGCAGGAATAGGCCAACGGCCATACCTGCATGTCGGCCCTAGAGGTGGACCGACATAGGCCTAGAAATGGCCCGGTCGCCTAGAAGTGGGGCCGTACTGCTGAACCGGACTTGACCACCATCAGGGGTTCAATCCAACGGTTGTTACCCTCGCCCAACAAACGTGGCTTACAGCCATGTAATGTCTACTTTACCGGACCTTAATCCCTGGATCTTAACCGGATTCCCCGGATTGGCTCTGGCTTAGCGGCTGGGACCATGAATTTGGCCTGGCCATCCCAGACCATCCGACGGAGTCCACCGGACCGAACTTGGCGCGAGCTAAGTTCCCCGGCTCGGAAAAGATCCAGCGCCCAGAAGGTGGCGACGCCCGCATAGAAGTTGCGACAAGCCGTGGACCAGTCCTGGCCTGCATAGAAGTTGCGGCAAGCCGTGGACAAATCCTGGCCCATAGAAGTTGGACCAGACCCGCTATGTGTCTAACGGACCATATGCGGCTCACGAGTCTAGTTGCCATACTAGGTAGCCGGGACCAGCGAGTTAAAGGGAGCCACATAGAAGTTGTGGTACGCCCACATTCGCATGCACCGCCCAGAGATAGGGGCAGAGGCCCAGAGGCAAAATTATAGATTTCACCATCAACCGCCCAGAGGCAAAACCAAAGAACTCACCGCCCGGTGGCCAAAAGAAGATCCTCCTAGTCAGCAGACCGGATACTCCGTGCTAAACGCCTACCGGTGCCCACAACTTAATTTTTTGGAGTTTGGCCAGGCCAATCTGATGTTTTCGTCGGAAGCCATTAATTTTTGATGGCCACGGTCTCGGGAAAGCCTATCGGACATGCCAGTTAACTCATGGCCCACGGCTAGTGAGATGGTCCAGATTCAACGAATCTTTAATATTGGCCCGCCAATTACCTTGGCGCGCCATAGCGGCCCGCCATACACTCTGGACCGTCGAAAAAGCGATTAAGTCCATTTTGGCCCGCCAGACGGCGTGGCCCGCCGAAAAACGACTAAGTCCATATCGGAGCGCCAAAGCAACACTCCCACTCCCGCAACAGCCAGAGGCAAGGCCCCGCCATCCCGGAGCCCCGTATCCCGCCCAAAGCGTGTCAGAGACCGAGTTTGGACCGCCCCAACGGGTCCGGTTCATCACACCACTTCGGTCATGGGAAATTTTTCCATTATGGCCCTCTTGGACTTGGAAGATTTTTGGCTCGAGATGCATGACCCAACCGGGGTGCACTCGAACTTAGAAGATTTTTGGCCCGAAGTGCATGACCAAACCGGCATGCAGGGCCAAACCTGACCAAAGCCGACCACCCTAACGGGACTGGTTCATTGCACCAATTTGGCGCCCCTCCTGCCCAGAGGCATCATCCACAAGCCATTAATGACCGCCCAAACCGGGTTCGGTCCATTCCACTACAGGAGCACCACTCCTGCCCAGAGGCCTTACGTACGGACCTCTTACGGACCACCCAACCGGGACTGGTCCATCATACCAGGAAGGGAACAAACTGTCCTTGCGAAAGCAACGGTGCCTTCCATACTCCGCATAGCTGAATTACTCGACTGGACACTGTGGACATCTCTGGGGACCGTCGCCTCGGATCCACAATACCAGGCCAATCCTACCGAATTAAGCGGACCGTTGACGAGGACCCGTGTGGACAGAATTTGCCCTGTGGTACACCTAGTCGGAATAAGCTATTTTTGTCTAGTTTTTTAACCAAACCTGGTTTTTCTAGACTTATTAACCAAAGAAATTGTTGTTCTCATTTAGCCTACTAACCAAAAGAATTGGCTTTGGGATCTCTTAACTATGATCTTACTTTCTTGATTCTCAATTGGAATTGTGATTTTTTTACTTCGATGTTTAACCATGAGCCTTATAAACTTTATTTTTTACTTCACCGACCGAAGAAGCTTCATCAACACCTCACTGGAACCTCCACACAAAGTGCCCTCCGGATTTCGGCCGTTCAGTGCATGCACCGCGGGTCTGGAGACAGTGGCCCTACCGGGTAAGAGACAAAGTGGCATCCGGCCCTACCGGGTATCGGATCCTGGCACCCTACCGGGTTGGCCAGGGGCAGAGTCGGAAGGTGCTCGCAGGAGCTCCCACTCCCGCCCAGAGGCATGTCAGAGACCGCTCACTCGAGGCGGTAGACACCTCTTGTGGCTTGCTCTGTCGCCCGCACGCATATGGCCACGCCATTCGTGCCGCTCATATACGCTGATAACGTCAGCGTATACTTTGTCTACGCTGACCAATCAGCGTTCGCTATGCACTTTTGGAGGTGTGGCCCAGCGCTTACGAGCGATGCCATGCTTTGCGGTGCCAGCTGTGATTCAGCGGCAGCATTCCGCGGCATTACGTTGATTTTCACCGAGCTCGCTAGCAGCCACTTTTTCCACAGCTTTTCCGCATTGCTTTTCTGTTGGTTTTGGTTGGCTTTATTGTTACACAATAAAGGAGATCGCTCCCTTTTCATCCTGCTTCTGTGTCACATCTGACAACTCGGTTATATGTATCGGAAATGATGGCTTGCCGGTGTATAATGGGATATGTCTGCATTTATAACGATGCGGATACAAATCCCCAGTCGTAATTATTGAATTAATTATTACAAGGTTCCTGCCTGGCTTATTTTCTGGCACGTTTTTGATTTGGTGTTTGTATTTATTTTGTAGTGGAGCGGACACATATCTATACAGTATCTATTTGCGCTGCTGTGGGTTGTTTTGTCAAATGTGTTATACAAATATCCCAAAGTCATGGATTTTGTTATGTTATGGCATATGAGCGCTGTTTTGCACAATACAGGTAGATGTGTGCATCAATTTGCCGGTTCCAAGCGTTAAGAAACTGTAACTGGCGACTATACCACAGATCTGGACAGTTGTCAGCCAAGTGCAATATTAAGGCGAAATGGCGTGCTTGGGGTACTCCGTAACGATTTTTGAAAAAAATTACCATTGATACAGTAACACGTAAGCTACATGATGGCGTATCGCAAAATAACAATCGGCCGTCTCCACTTAAAAGAGTGAATTTTTTTCAACAACCGGTCGGTGAAAGAAAACAGTGAATTAAACCTGCCTTGATGCAGTTGTTTCTCTGTTCAGTAAAAGCTGCCGCTGTTTAGTAGCCGGCGGTATCGGTTCGGCTTTGGGCTGCTTTACACCGCGCGCGCTGCTTGTGTGGACGATGGCCACTTGGCGCTATCGTATTGTCAGACTGAAGAGTGCCGAGCAGTGATTATCATAAGGTTAGGGAATAATTAGTCGGCACAGGTACACTACCACATTTTATGGCTTTGTTATTTACACAGATGACCACTGTCAGCGCCAGCTGATCAATAACAATCATGAGAACAATCTTCACACATGTAACAAATTGCTGAGCGTTTCATCTGCAAGAGTATGATGCAGATTGCAGAGCAGTTTATCAGCCGTGGTGACCGTTAGTATATAAATTTATAATATGCCTCGCATAAGAAGTCATGAAAAAATTCGAAATTTTACCAAAGCCAAACAACGCAATACGACGAAGATTGGCGATTCTCGTGCTTTTCCTAAAAACTTTCTGTTTGACAGTGGTTTATTGAGAGATTTACTTGAAGGTGATTGTAACCATGTTACTCATACGAAAAATGGTGCCGATGTTTGCAAACGCCAAAGCCGACTATCGATTGTTTCTAAATCTGGACTGTCTTTTAAACTCAAAATTTCGTGTGGTAATCACTCGCGGGAATTCTACTCGTCTAAGTTAGTGCGAAGTGATTATTATAAACGTCCCCAGCGTGATTGTAATGTCTCTGTGGTCACTGCCGGTCTTCTGTTTGATATGAAACATAAGCGGCTAAGTGGATTTATGCTACTGCTTTGATTGATTGCCTGCTGTTACTTTCTGTCTGGAGTACAGAACCCCCGTTTCTTTCTTGAACAGAAAATAAAAGAACTGGCATTTCGGAAATTGAGTTGTCTGCAGCAGGGAAAATAGTTCTCATAAGTTAGCACAGAAATTGCTTGCAAACGAAAGTTACTTACACGGTAGAACTTACTTCTCTCACTCTGTTATTAAAAATTATTTGAATATTTGATAGTAATTTTGGTACTATGGAGACATTGGAACAAGCTTTTCGAGTAAACGAGTAAGTTGTATAATTACAAACCACAATGACAATGATTATATTCTCGGCATCCGCCAACGCTGATTTCCCTTTTACGTATAGTCTGCCGTACTCGGATGCTTTGGTGGATTTCATCACCAAAGCTGCGTCTGTTGGAAAGAATGACAAGCAGCGCCGCTTCTTGATTTACAGAGCGCTAGCCAAACAGATCTTGGTATGTTACTTTTATTTGCAGTGAAAGTGATCGAACTAATAATTATTGATAAGTAAAATATTTACTAATAGCACGTGGAAAAAGTTGTTAAATATGACCACGCAAAAGTCATCTGCCTAGTATATCCGGCCCCATTGCTCGAATACATTCGTGTGCAGTATGGCAATGGGAAAAACAACGGGCCCGGCAAAGGAACACACGAAGTGTCGCTGGCTGAATTGGCCTCAATGAACTGGAAGTAGTCGTTTATTACTCCTTTGATGTTTTCACCTACTGTGCATGTCGCTTCTTGCATTTGTTTGTATTAGCTATCAGTTCCTAAACGGCTCCGGTCGTGGTGAAACTGCTACTTCCCGCCGTCTATCTGCGGGCTAGCTGGCCAGTGGTCACTCACTACCTTCTTATTGCTGCCTGCGCCATATGTTTGTTTCAGACTGCGCATTTACCAGATACACTGGATTTTGTTGGTTTACGAACAATAAATTTTTGGAGTTCTTCCGCAAACTAGTCTTTGCTATCGCATTCTTATCAAACACAATACACATCGCCCGATTTGGAAAAGTGTGCCCTTCAAAAGCTTGGGACCAGTTTTTCGATTTTCGGTCTGATTAACGCGTAATGACTATTGATTGTGAATGAGGTAGGGAAAAACGCACACCAGCGGAGACTTAACATTTTTTTATAATTCTAAACTAAAAAGTTTTGAAAAACTGGTCCCAACAAGTTGTAGATAATTGACTTGTGTATAGAATGATATGTGTGTTGTTCATATCTGTAACGTTGTTAAAAACTAGTATGCACAATTCGGTGCATTGCAGTTAAATCCAAAATTTTAAAGTTTAAAACAGTTTTAAAAACTTGTTTCTTCGTTTGAAACATAGTTGGATGTACACGCTATCCATTGTTACGACAGTCAAAGATATTGCATTTGTACTTAATCAGCGCTTTACATTCTTTCATTTCGGTACTTCATCGGCCCGAAAGCACGCCATTTCGCCTTAACTGGGCAAGAAGGCGGACTTTATTAATTTCGTCGTCGCGGTAAATCTCCAGCAGCGTGCACAAAGATATGTTACACATTCGGATGTTCCCGGTCTTCTTGAACCCATTACCGCAGCCACATGGTGGAACCATTCAGCCGTAATTTCAAAGATAACCCGGTGTTTACTAACCGGTGATTTTTGACTTGTTACCGCGGCAGCGGACGTTCCCTTGAATGTACACAAATTTTGTGCTATGTACCGGGCCAAATCCCTTAATAGGCATTCTTTTACACAATACTAGTGGTGGTTGATAACCACATCACCGCACCGAGCCACTGTTATGCGTTTCCAGTGACACGTGAAAATGGCACGTACCAATGGAATAGAATCGAGATGTGGAATTCCGCACAGGGCCGTAGCGAGGGTATAGGCGCACTGGCGCGCGCCTACCCCTCCTCGGCCAACTTTTGACTAATATTTGCGCCCGAAACTGGCGCACAGGCGCACGGGCGCAAAATTTCTGGATTTTTCCAAGGGCGCAGCGGGCGCCACTGGCCATGCGCCCGTGGCGCAGAGTGGACTTTGGCCGATGTGCCTTGGTCTGAGGTACGGCGATCAAGAACTATAATAATTAAACTATGTTTTATTATTTTTATATTAATTAAAGTAGTAAAGCGCGGCCTGTTTATACGGGCGCAACGGGCGCAGGCTTCGAAATTTATGGGCGCAGTGGGCTCAGACTAACCTTCGAAGCGGGCGCAAATGGCGCAGCCAAATTGCGCCTACCCCATCCCACGGACCTCGCTACGGCCCTGATTCCGCATATCCCGTAGAAAAGAGGATTAAGTACGCGCTTTCTGGCGTCAGAAAACCTGATGTGGAGGTACTTATATACTCTGCTATGGAGCGTGTAGTCTTGACGATCCGTTAATTCCAGCACCTCGCGCTTCGCGCTCGGTGCAAAATATTACGTGCACTGGAGTTCGGAATGTCTCATGCGCATCCAAAGCGCTATCGCTGCGGGTGTCACCAAATCCACTGTATGACAGGGGTTCACAATTTACCTTCTATAGCATTATTACCGCCGATATCTCGTGTAAAACCATCATCTGACAAAATAGAATTGGGCTCAGGGGCTCAGGTAGTTTACCTGGAGGGTGCCTGTCATGGGGCACGGCTGCAATTAAGTTCAACATAGTAATCAAAAAGTGTTGACTTCCAAGTTTCCGACTTGATTTCATCGGGTTTGAATGTAAGCAGCAAGTTTGGTCCCACACTGGCTCCGACAGGGCTCGGGGATGGCGCGGTATATGTGGATATAGTCGTAATGGCAGGATTTAACATCCTTCGCGCCAGTGTGGTGTATGTGCACTTACTGTACTTATACTAACCGTCAAAGTACTGTTGGGTACGTACTTCGACATACGTGTTTCTTCCTGTGTACTCAACGCACACAAATCATGATAGCATGATTGCGTTGCTACGTATCAATGTCACAATAAAATAATTATCAAATTCATATCAATGGCCTTTTACACGTGCATACCACACCTCCCCTGAAATAAAAAATGATCATGAAGATGACCGTCAAAAGGCTTATTGAAATGGCCCAATTTGACATTCCCAGATCAAGCGCTTCTCCTACTCGAGTAGGTGTTAGCACCAAGGACAATAGAGCATGGACCTGCATGGTTAAAATGAGCATACCAGCTGCATCCCTGGGAAATCTTTGGACGACTCCGCCTTATTGTTAAGGGTTGATATTGGCTTGCGCAAGGGATCACCGATTGTTACTCTGCACCGATGCATTTGCAATGAATGGGTGGACGCTCGAGGCTGCCCCGGCTTGAGCTGTAAGGAAAACCGGGCCGGAACTCAAAGACAGCAATTTAAACGCCACGCTTATTAGATGAGCTTCCGCCAGCCACCATCGAGGCAGAACTTGAACCCCTGGGAATATCGCTAACAACGGCAAACGCCCTAACGGAGTCACTTAGATGCCATGGGAACGAGGCAAAATGTTAACGTGGGATGGCACATTTGTGTGTACGATGGCCCTTTCTCATATCGCAGCAACATCCACCCAAACTGGCGCAGCAGCACAGACCACACGGGAAAAAAACCGCGAAGTACCAGAACACCATCCAGGACTACTTATTCCATGCGGTGGGCGTGGAGACAGTGGGACCACTCGGACTCGAAACCTTCCGGTTGATCAGCGAAGTGGGCAAGATAACAAGGAAGGAAACAGGTCTGCGCCAGAGGTTCAGCATCGAAATTCAACGTGGCATCCAGGACCACTTATTCCATGCGGTGGGCGTGGAGACAGTGAGACCACTCGGACTCGAAACCTTCCGGTTAATCAGCGAAGTGGGCAAGATAACAAGGCAGGAAACAGGCGAGGTGAGTGCAACGGAGTATCTGCGCCAGAGGTTCAGCATCGAAATTCAACGTGGAAACGCGGCATCCATCCTGGGAACGATACCAGCCTCGGCTAACTTAGATAAAATGTTTCTGCTGATTCGGCCGCCTGTTTCTGCTATCTGTTAAATCTGTGTAATGCTTATGTTTCCAGATGTTTAATCAATATCTTCTGGATCAAAACGAAATCACAGAAATGATAACCGTGCAGTATTCATACTCAAATGATAATTAATCAACGCATATATTCAGAACAACAAGAATAATAATAATTAACTAATAATAATAATAATAATAATTAAGTAATTATAATAATAATTACTTTTCGACAGTCAACTCCGCCTCGGTGTTTTTGTGTTTCCGAAAGAACTATATTGTATCAAGACAGCTCTCGTCCTGCACCAGATGAAAATGTAACTGTCCAGACATTATCAGTCGGCGCGAAAACGATTTGAATAAACCGACCTGCACACTTGTGTATCACATGCCGTTTTTTGTGCGTCGCTCACGCGAACTCAGATTAGTGGTTTCACGTTAACATTTGTTAATAGGGTTTAGTAGTACCCGAGTACAGATGTTTACATAGCTGAGAGATTTCATATTTTGTTCCATACGAGTTTCGAAATACAAACTTATTCCAAAACAGAAAGATAAGCAAGCAACCAGATAGAAAATGAAGAACACTACACAAGAGAAAAGCGCTGAGCTGTTAACAAGCCCAAAACAAGGCATTTCAATAACTTTTAAGCATCTCGCAACGCGAAAAGAAAAAGGAACACATGGATCGCAGATAATTCCTTTGACAGTATTTAATCAGATCCAAGAAATGCCGTTTGTAGCGATATGTGCATGTGATTCTTTATATACCTCCATTCCCCCGTGATCCTGGATCAATAGATATTACCGCTATCCTGGTGATGAACAGGATAGCCGATTCTTCGATTAGAAATCAACGATGATGCTCTGCAGAGATTCACATACGGAACACTTCGCTGATCCCGTATATAGCCAATTTGCTCCATGTGGAAAGATCCACACATCGGAGGTCGATATCGTCCCATGCTTTTGGCCTTCCATCCGAGTGAAACCCGCTGAATCTGCCAAAATAATGTACAAAAAACGTAGCAGATGCGCCTGGAAATAAACCATTCAGCAATCGCTCAGATGGGTTTACAGCAGTACCGTACAGGAAACAAACATACGCCGCTTCGCTTAGCTCCGCTCTGTATGAGAGGAGCAATCACTGCCATAAACTGGCCGGATGCTCGGACAGTAACATGTAACATGCTCCGCCTTTATTTCTTGCTTGAACGACGAACTGCGCATGCCTGGTCCATTTCATGCTCTTTTTTGATAACGTTAACTGCAGTTACAGAATACTTAACATTTGCAGATTACACAGAATGTGTCAACAAAACTTGGAACAAATATTTTTGTCAAATAATAGGACTTTCAGCGGCGATGAATTGGAACTAGAATTATTTCAGACCACGTTAGACTAGACCAGTGAACACAATAAACTCTCCAAGGTCAAAGGAATTCATGACGTCAACTATACCGAAAAGTCTTTCTCTGTTACTGGACAACGCATATTAAAGTGCTAGAGATAGAGAAAGAGTAATTGCTCCTCTAGCAAAGTTTAAAGCGGTGTATTTTGTTCAGTGGAAGTGCGCAACCATAGCACGCCGCACAACGACAAAATGACAACCAATAAGAAGAAAAATTATGTAACGTAGAGATACCTAACGAATCTGCCAGACCTGCGAATTGTGATGTTGCCAAAAACTAAAAATTTGATAAGCAGATCTTTTATAACGTGTAAAAGCACCACCGTTTATAAAAAAAAAGCCAATGTTTGTTGCGCCTAAAATTTTTAAAACTGAATAAACTGTCATGAAAAACCTGCTGCGCATGGGAGGAAAAATCAGGAAAATGCGTGGATTGGAACTCCAAAAGAACTGTCAGTAATGAGCTAACCGATATTATCAAAACACAAGAACTTTCAGTTGCGAACGTCATTTAGCGGTCGCTGTGTGGCATGCATTGTGTAGTTTGCGCACTTCTCCCATTAGCCACAGTTAAACCAGTTCGATCCACTTCCTAAGTCCAATTTCGACTTCACACCTGTTTCACTGACTCGCTACCCGTAGAGACCTTCAAGTGGCCACCTATGTTACGTCAATACCTTCACGCGGCCGGCTTCAGTATGTTGCTCCAGAACCGATTTTCTTTCGGTTTTTTGTTTTAACATAGTAATCACAACTTCCTCTTTCCAGAGTCCATGAAAATTGGCACGGCCATTGGCTCAACATAGGTGGCCACTTGAAGGTCTCTACGGGTAGTGTTGTACAAAAGCCGATTAAGTGTCCTTGCTTTCCTTTTCGATATTTTTGAAAATTTGACAATTAATTAATAACGTGGCTTTTGGTTTTATCGTCTTCCTGACTTTTTTCCACGATAACACCAACCAATCGCAACTGCAACGAAAGTAACTACTCCATCAAGAACCTACTATAGTGTGAGCACTGACAATGAGCAGTTACTCTGACACTACGGTGAGTTCTTGACTCTATACGTGTGTTAAGTGCATTTAAATCAGTGCTTGCTGTTTATTGACTTTTATGTCGGCATGTTAACAGTTAAAGCTGTAATCACTTCGTTTTTATGTGACTGTGATCTTATCGCAATGTTCTGTACGATTTCTTCTTGCTGTTTCGCTGTCTGAAGCTACGAGGATGCAACCGCGCCGTGAAACGACAATTAACTTCCGCGCCGTGCAAGGGCGGTATCGGCGTACGTCGGGCGGAGGAATTAGCACTTCCAGCCTTTCTGGCTTCGATTCACTCCGTATCCGATTTGGTGTCCTCACAGCTGCCTGGTCAATCTGCCGTTGAATTTCCTGACGCTCTTGATTTTTGGAAAAAGAACGCCTGCCTACCCGAACTGCCGGAACCTAATTTCCGCAAGCAGCCAAAAACGTGGGATATGCCGCTGTGCAACGTGTCTCTGTCTACGCCGCTGGAAGTTTACCGCAACGACGAATAAAGCCCGGATTCTTGCTCAGTCAAGCCCAGAGGCCGGTATTTGGTTAAAATGCGTTCCCCTCCGCCCACATTGGCAACTTACTAGACGATGACACTCTTAAAATTTCTGTAGGCCTGAGACTGAGAGTTGCAATATGCGAGCCTCACGATTGCATGAAGTGCCAAAAACATAAAGATAAATACGGGCACCACGGTCTGTCTTGTGCATTCTCAGCCGGTACTCAGCCCGGTAGACACCCACGACACGGAGGACTGAACATCATCATATGCCGGTCTCTTGTGTCAGCTGGGGTTCCGGCGAAATTGGAACCACGTGGCACGTCGCATACGTCAGAACGACGTCCTGATGGCTGCACAACCTTCGCCTGGCAGAGAGGGATGTGATTAGCATGGGACGTCACTTGTGTGGACACGGTGGCGCCTTCCCACGTCAGGTCTACGGCAGCAAGCGCAGGTGCTGCGGAGGTGGAAGCGGAAGAAAAGAAGTCCCGGCTTTATGTGTACGAGGACACACTAAGTATACGTGATAGACAAAAAAACCAGCGAGAATAAATGATACTGTGTTGTCGAGTCAACTTGGCACCCTTGTTTACAGTGAGTCGTATCCGCTTAGCGTATAACTCAGTGTACGAAAAGGTGCCAAGTTGACTCGACAACACAGTAACCAATCACGTGTTGTGCAGCACACCCAGCCACCAAGGGTTGGCGGTCCAAGTACTGCGTAGTAAACAGCTCGTCTTCATAGACGCGTATGCTGACTTCCAGCTCTCATTCCTTGTGTGATATGAAACGAAACAATTTGACCAATGAAGCAAAAGATGCAGAAAAAATCTACAAGATTTTTGATACCCAACAAGTTGCAGTTTATTGCGATTAAGACAATAGATAGCGTTTTTGAGTTTCTCGTAGACAGAGCATAGGATTCTGTGTGGGGAACCCTTGATCGTGGATCCTATGGTTAGTCTACGAGAAAATGAAAATAGCTGTAATCTGTTTGAATCAGCGTATCTTCTCGCTTATTTGGTATCAAAAATCGTGTTATTTTTTTCTGCGCCTTCTGATATATTGGTTGAATAGTCACGTTTCAGAGTGCACGAGAAATCAGCGTTGAAAGTTTGCATAATTTTCAGTCAGTCATTTTTTATGTGCTTACAAGCAACTGCGAACCTGGGTGGTTGCCCGCGTTGCATGAGCCGGGCATGGTTATCACTTATTCTCGCTTAATTTTTTGTCTATCACGTATACTTAGTGTGTCCTCGTACCTATGCGGCAGATACATCTTCGCACACATAGCTGTTGAAACAATGGGCCCATGGGGACCGTCCGCTGTCGCCATTATCAAAGCACTGGGTAAACGACTCGAGCAACACACTGGCAAAGCCCGTTCTCATGAATATGTATTTACGCCAGAGATTGCCACTGGAGGTACAGCGCGGCATCGGTTATGGGAATTGGGAACGATGGAAGGAGCAGAAAAGTTTACTGAAATTTTAATGTTATAAAGAAATGTCGATGTTTTCAATTATTAGAAAATTACGTTGTACCGCAGGTGAAATAAGATTAACTTCCATTATTTCCGCTATTTCGGTATAACCAAGCACTTTGATTTGACTGACTACGGTGGCAGGATATCGGTTAGCCAACTTCGAAAGCAAAAGGCTAATATACGTAAGCATGTGAACCTTTTATATACAGTACTTAGCACAATACGTCGAAGAAAGCATAATTTATCATCACTCACATTACGAGGTAGTTGCGAATGCTCTGCCAGTCCTGGGGGTAGGTAAGAGTGCGCAGCCACCGCGCACGGACAGCTGTGACCTTCACCAGCATGTCCTGCGTGATCGGCGGGAAGTTATCGTTCAAGGCGCACATGAAGCGACTGGTCATGTGCATTTTTCCGTCTCTGCAGGGCAGAATGACCTTCGGAATGGTGATTTGCAGTTTGTCAATGGCCAGATCGTGTGGCTGGTATGCGAGATGCAACATAAACTCCCGCTCGTGCGCTGGCAGTGGGCAAGAGGTGGTCCCGGGATGTGGCTCGTAGCAGATTGGGTCCTCCTCAAAAACGTCGTACATTTGCTGTCCGAAGAGGGCGGTAACTTTCCAGTTTTGCAGCAAGACGAATTTGCAGTAGTGTTTATAGGCTGTTAAATGGACCGCTGTGCCATGCTTTAAACGTGACTGTTTTTGTTGGAAGACTCTTAGTGGTATAACGTTAGTGTAGTCTTTGAACACGAGAAACGGCAACTTAATTTCCAAGGCATCTAACATCGAACCCAAGAAAAAACCGTGCTGTGGCGGGAATACATTCAACAGGGTGAGACTTATGGTCGCTGAGCTGATTGAGCTGTTCAGTAGAGTAGCCACTTTAAAACAGTTATCGCTGTCCGCCTTGAGCTGCCAACAGCTTCCGAAAGAGATGCTGACGTGCTCTATCACTCGATAGCTGCTCAGCAGCAACTGCCATAAGGCACACACCCTATCAAGAAACACAGAGTAGTCAGTATTGAGTTCTTACTTCTTATTGAGTATTGAGTGAAATTGTGAACTACATGTATTGACGATCTTGAATTGTATTAATCACAGGACAATAAAGGCTGAGACAGACATTCTTATACTATGTGCACCACTGACATCAAAATATCAACTATGGTTCTGCAGAAAATACTTATATCAAGTTCAAATTTTGAAACAATAATAACACACAATTCACGAGCTTTACCTGTTTTTTTTTGTACGAGTACTTCAACTGTTCTTTTTGCAAGAATTAATATTATGTACGCAAAAACCACCCGTACCAGGCGTCCGATGATTTGCCTTCGATGGAGCCGCTACTTACTTAGTGCAGGTGGTTTAGGAAGATTGCTTGCCTCTTAATCCTTACAAAAAGAGCAGTTCACGGATTCTTTTTTGTACGGAACGTTAATTTTAGACAAAGATTTTAACAAAAAGCTAACTGAGTGTGACAATGATTCAGAAAAAAAAAGTATAGACTTCCGGAGTTCTTCTCAACGTTGTGGCCCAGGAGCCAGCTTTACTTTCGAAAACCGATCATGAACCTTGAGAAGGCCTTCGAAATATTATAATACTGCCTTGAGAACGAACACGAGTACTTATGATGAAGATACTGTTAAAAGGTTACTTATGAAGCGAATGCAAAGATACTGCGTACCGTTTGACTTTCATTTGCGAATGTAAGTCCAAATGCGACAAGATGTCGCTCAGTAGCGAAGGCGTCAAATGTGAGATACAGGCATTCAACATCAGTGAACCAACTTCGACATCTGTAGAAGGAATATATACTTAATAGAAGCTGACCAGTTAGCAGGGATGGATATTGGCCTGCAACTACTAATAGTAAACGCTTGTATACAGTGCTGTACTCTGGTACAGTTGGAATTTTTGCGGCAGGTTCCAGTGAACCGTGATAGGTTCTTATATGCGGTATACGACGCCCGTAACGACGGATATCGTAACATATAAGAAGCTATAGCTTCTGTGGTTGGTGTCCGAATCCGTGTGTAAACAAAAGAAAATTTCTGGCGGTCGTAGAGTGCGGAATGCCCGTGTCCGATCACTTCGGCCGCAAAGGTTCATTCGGCCAACGCTAATTTCGGCAACGGGACATTTCGGCCATCATAGGTGTCCTGGGTTTTCTACGTTGTCCAGGTTTTCTAGGATTTTTAGGTTTATTATGGTATTGGTTTCTTTGGTTCCTTAGGTTTCTCAGGTTTATTAGGTTTTCTTAGATTTGTTATGTTTTCTTACGTTTTCTTAGGTTTTCTTTGATTTTCTTTTGTTATCATAGGTATTCTTAGGTTATCCTTAGTGATTTATGATATGAAGATTTACTTTCTGTTTTTATGTTTTCCTAGTTGGCTTACGGTTAGGTTTTCAGTAGTCTCCCGGTAGGCTTCGTGACTTTGTGTCATCGAATGGGACACTTGATGGTGACAGTAACACTTCAAGAACTGCTAAAAAAAATTGTGCGTGCAAATTGATATGAACGCGGTATTTGCTTTCAATTTTTTTATTCAATGGTTTAAGTAACCGATAAATTTATATCGCAGGTAACGTTTTCTTGTGAATTAAACTAAAATGAGCGTCGGCCGAAATGTACTGCGGCCGAAGTGAATGGCGACCGAAAAACTTTGGCCGAAATGAACGCGGCCGAAATGAAAACGGCCGAAGTGATCGGTAGCCCGGAATGCCCCGGCAAGTTGAAGGCAGAGGCCGGGCCTAACAGCGACGTGTGTTGTGTTCTGCTCGAGGAACGATGCATGACGAGTAAGCTATTAGAGGCTTTTTGCAGAAAACACCATAACCATACCTTAACCATCGCTTATCGGGTAGCTGGACGACCGCCATCGAAGTGGCAGTGTACAGATTACCTTACAAAAAGCGCAACTGATTTCTAGGGGTCTTCGAATTCATTTTTTTCCTCGTGTTACGTGCCGTGGAATCCTTTAAAACATCAAAATTTAAATTCTCTGATGTTTTCTGTACTTGAAAAGTCTACTTCTAGCAAAGTTAAAGTATACAGGAGTTAAGAGGAGCTGTTGGAAGTCAGCCACCATACAACGAGTTTGTATGGTATCCGCACTTACCATACGCTCGCACTTAACCATAGCGTATGGTTAAGTGTATGGCTATGGTTAAGCGGAGCAGTTGCAAAAAGCCTCTATTACACCCATTTCTCCCGTCCAAATTTGCAAACGGCGCTGCTAGCTGGACATTTCCTTTCCAGCTTCATAGTACTTACTACTCCTATTGATATTGCATTATTTATACGATACTCCTAAATGATTTACATTATTTTTTTTCTGGAACTTGCCGCTGTACAATCGCGAGATTGTGCCACGCATTGTACAGCAGAACGAAAACCACTGCTGTATCGGTACTATTTCTGGCCCACGCTTAAACTCTGAATCTGACCACTCAAACTCCGACTCTGACTGCTCAAAGTCTGTCTCTGACTATCGTACTCAAAGTTATTACTCTGACTCTGACCGCAACTACTCTTTGACCACCGAAGCTCTGATACAGCCAAGTAAAACAGGTTCTTAGGTTTCCTAAGTTACTCTTAGTTTACGCTGTTTACGCTTAGGGCCCTAGGCTATTGTGTGTTTCTTAGGCCTTGGCTCAAATTCGAACCGTATCTCGCTACGGTACGGTGGCTCCACCGCACGAGGTGGCTTGTAGAACTGTACCTGTAGGCGTGGCCACTGCAAACAGCTACTTCGTGCGGTGGAGCTACCGTACCGTAGCGAGATACGGTTCGAATTTGAGCCAAGGCCTTAGTTTGTTCGTGTGTTTCTTAGGTCTCTTAGGTTTCTTAGGGTATTATTAGGCTACTAGTTGACCCCGCGCAAATTGCGCGCAATATATAGGCTACGGAATAGGAACGATTTAAAATCAGAAGGATATCATGATTATTATTTATTTTTTGGTGAAAAACATCACGGTCATATTTCGTATCATGCGTTGTATTGTTTGCACGAATAATTTTTCGTGGCCAGGTCACAAACTTGGAGTAATTGTAAATTCCCAAGGTCGGATACCGGAAACAGCACTACGACTCAGAACTATGGAGCACATGTTGCTCATTTGACGTTTCTGGTTTCTTCATATCCCACCCGTAAAAATAATTTTCCACCCATGCCCTTTAAATCCGAAAGTATCAGTATGGGAAGTGGTGGGAAAGCGGAATGCAATCCCATGCAAAAAAATGGCCATAAATAATGTTTCACTTGATGCTCCGCTCGCGCCGCAGCTCGGCGTCGCCTGCGGCCTTGTCTTCGGTTCTTATTCCACACATTGGGAAAAAATCAATTTTCTGAAAATTTATGACGCAAAGGAAAAACCTAATGATCCGTGACATCTGGAGCCACCGTTGCCTGCTCTTCTCAAATCTGACTTCTGCTGGCTCTGCTACTGACTTTGAGTAAAAGATATGTAGTGAATGACAGACCCCGCGCAAATCGGCTTCATATCGTTCTGTAGATAATGTTTTGCTGCTGATTTTTAATGATTTTTTTAACTTTTTCTCCCGGCTGCTGCGCCTTCTGTTGGTTGTCAAAGATTTTACAAAACAGAAATTTTAGAAAATTCTTTCTTACTGCTTCCGAGCCCGCTCACTGTGCCAGAAAATGTGTACTTCCATTGCTCACCAGTCACCAGCTGCTGCCCTTGGGCGCGCTGCTACTTCAGAACTGGTTAGACTTCGGCGGAGGGCAGTTGTTTTAGTGATCATGGTTTAAACTTTAAAATGTTCTATCGCACTTTGCTGTTCCTCCTTCCTTTTCGAGTCAGAGTTTTGATGAGAAATTAAAAACTCAGGGCAACCTAAGCTAGTGAAACGTTCCGGAGGCCGTTGGCTGTTTGGCAGCAAAGGGGTTCTTGGCCACTGTGTAGCGACTACAATCTAATGGTGAGGTGGTCAGTTTTGCAGTGGTGCATTCTTCACTTCTCCCGTAGACTCAGCATGTAAAGTTTTTTTTAATTTTTTGTAAAACTGGAACTGTTTTTCTCAAATCTGACTTTTGATGGATCATGGCTCTACTACAGAATAAGAGCTATCGAATGATACAGACTTTGAAGGTCAAACTTTGAGTAGTCAGAGTCAGAGTTTTCGCCGTCAAGAGTCTGAGTCAGAGCATGAGCGCGGGCCGGCGGGGCCGGTACTTATTTTTTAATGCAGCCAAATGAATTCATATTTTATTTCAACCAGAAAATGGTATTGGTCACTGCCTTTCCCTCGGAAAAAAAGTGTTTTCTGCACAATAATTTTGCTATGTTTAAAAGATGTGCGCGTTATTGTAAACATATCTAAATTCCAGAAATTACTATTTTTATAAATTCCAGCAATAAATTTCTCTGAATTTCAGAAATTATTCTCAATTGTTATTCAAATTCGTAGAATCCGTTCGTATTATGGCTCAAAAAATTCAGCAAAAATTCTAAGTTTGTAAACTAAAACTGACAAGTGAAACGTTCCGAAGGAAACGAAAACTTTATGATTCTCGTTAGCATAGAGGTCTAGGAGGTGGTTTGCCACAGTCCACAGACCTCCATGTTAACCGAGAATAGTTGGTTCTTGATTTGTGATCAAACGAAGCGACCAAACCTGATCAGTCAATCAAAACCAAACAATTAAAATTAATTAATCAATCAAAACCATCGAACAATTCAGTTTTGATCAAAACAAGTGATTTTTGTTTAGCGTAGAGTGCTAAGGCAGATTCCCTCATAGGCCTTTATGGTAAACAAGAATTGCGTAAAGCGTAAACTTTTCGTTTATATGACAACTTTTTACTTTCCAACTTTCACTTCCAAACTTCAAATTTTTTTTGCCATAGTACGAAGGGATTGTACGAATCTGAAAGTTTTGATAAACAAAGAACCCGCAGGGGTTGCCTACTGCGTCGCACTGTGCGTGTTCTCTACCGTGACGTCATCGTACAAGGTGCATGCTCGATGGAATACCTGTTAGTTTAGTAAGTAATAATATTATTATAGTAAGGAATTTCAGCACACTCTGACTTATCGTAAGCTTAACTTACGATAAGTCAAAACCATGAGTAATCACATTTGACTCGTAGAAAAACTATCCAATAATGCGAAAACAGAGCAACGGTAACGGCTGCGATATATGAATGCCCCAGCTTGTGATAAGTTAGACTTATCATAAGCTCGACGTTGTTAATGAGAGCGTGAAATTACTGCCTGAGTAGCCTAATTACCTTTAATACATCAGTAAAGCTAGCCACCGCCGTCTTGAATGACTATCTAATTAGCTTAAATAATGCTTAATTATTAATTATAACGGGAAATTACTGCCTAATTAGTAATTAATGCCGTCTCAAAGTCAATAAATTATTAATGGTAGCATACGCATTATTCTGCGTTCGTAATTATGTTAGATCTAAATTTGTTATTACATAGCGTCGATAGCACGGTATTAACGGGGCAGTGCAGTCCATTGCACTCACCGTCTACAGCGTGTAACGCGCGCAATGCATGGATAAGTCAACGATGCCCAACGGAAAATCTAGTCTCGACTAGATTTTCCGTTGGGCAATGTTGCCTTAAAGTGGACATGTGTTGACTGTTGCAACAAACCAATGCACAACGCTTGCGTTATCTCGGAATGACACATAGGAGCATGACGAACAGTCCGTTGGGCTGCATTATCATAAGGCAGTCAGAACTGAAAGTACCTAGTGAGTGTTATAAGTCGCCTATGCTCCGTTAGTGGCGATTCAGTCTTATGGCCGGAGTGAGCTGTGTGGCATATTAATGTCTGGATTGACTGTGGAATATCAGCTCAGTGGTGGCAAGATAGCCTCTAACTGTGGGCATAGTCTTCCATCGATTGAGTATTACCATGCATGAATACCTACTAATAGTAGTAAGTATTTACAAATACACATAATTTTAAAGGATAAGGACATAAAGTTCATAAAAAACAGTCGGCTTACCAGTTTCACAAAGGCCATATTCATTTGCGCGTAATTCTCGATTACGGATAGGCAGTAGACTGGCGCGACTGGAGATATGTGTTTTCAGGATTTTCGGCAAGATCTCAGTTATCCAAGGTGTCGGTTCCGCGTCCGTTGCGAGAATAATGATAACAAATACGCAACCCCCCGATTCGATGCGCAGATGAAATCGGCAGCCGTCGGTCAAATACTCACCACTTAGTAAATGCATTCTGGCTCGAAAAGCGTCCTGAAGATGTTTTATGATGCGAAATTTATCTGAAGGCTCAGTGAGAACGGCCTTGGCATGGTCAAATGGTATGAAGTATTTGGTATAGAGCAATCCTTTGCGGCGATCTAGCAAGGACGGACCGCTGGGTGGCAAAGCACTTGCCACTTGGCCTGCGTGTACCAGCTCAAGACAAGTTCGTTGGGCACCGGAGTCGCTGCTGAGACTTTTGGTCTTGATATAAAACATCCAACAACTCGAGCTACAACCCGAAAGTCTGTGCATTATAACGGCTGGCCGAAATCGGAACGGACCGTTATCTCCATCACGCAAAGCCGCAAAAATTTCGACATTTTGGTAGCCTTCCCTCATACAAAGCTCGGTGTCCCAGTACGATGGCAGAGGCCAGACGTCTCTTAAGTGCATCCAGCGAGCTTCCGTTAGTGTAGAGTTAAAGTGAATAAAGGCGTACTCGCCGTCAATATCCTGAACGTATCCCAGCCACCAAACGTTGCCATGGCCGCGGACGACAACAGTATTACGATAGCTGACTTGATTTGCACCCGCTAGTAGCGACTGATACCGCGGCATCCCTTCCAGCACCTTAAAATGCGCCTAAAAACAACAGAATTCACTGCAATAGGTGGCAACTTTAAAAACCATGAAATTACTTCGGTTATCGACCGGAGAACAGCGAGGGTCCTCAGCTGAAAAAGAAAAACTCTCCGTCTGTCTGTTACGGAAGTGGCCCGATGACGTTATCGACAGGTATCTCATATAACGAACGTCACGGGATGGTACTACATACAGATTAGCTATACAAGGTAGCCTCGCGCATCCGCGCTCGGCACTTATGTACTGGATAGTTTTAGCTTTATTTGGAAAGGTCATTAAAAATATAAAAAAGCCGGAATTATAGAAGAAAAGGTTTTTCAGACTATGATTTTAATCGCATATAGGCTTTCGTAGTCGTATAAAGTTTTCGAAAAATATCGAAATTCGTTAAGAAAAACTGATGTTAATCTCGCCCTAAATTATAAGCTGCAGTGGAAAAATTTATGTAAGCATGCAGAAAAATTGATACGCAATTTTGAAAACTGTCAGATTAGTGAGGCTGCAACGGCAGCGCGCAACAACCCACGTAAGTTTTGGCAGTACGTTAAATCGTCCGACGATAAAACTGGGATACTGCCGCTGAAAATGGAGGACGGCTCGATTCTTTCTACAGATAACGAAAAAGCGACCGCGTTTAACCAAATGTACGCAAGTTCTCAAGGGTCATGCGGCAGTCATTGCCATGGCTCCAATGTAGAGATGTGTGTAAATAATAACACGGAGCCTTTCGAAATAACGGAAGAAAGTATTCTGTATCACATTGCAAACTGCTCGTCTGCGTCATCCAGTGGTCCGTTTCAAATAACGAATAAACTTTTAAAACTGTGTGCAAATGCTATCGTTAAACCGCTGCACATGATTTTTACTGCAGCGGTAAATGAGGGTTGTTATCCTTCAAGCTGGAAGCAGTCGTACATATCACCTATTCCCAAAGGGTCTAAAGATCTGACTTGTCCCCAAAACTACCGACCAATTTCTTTGTTGAACCCCGTTTCCAAAATTTTTGAACGTTGTATTGATGAGTATATTCGAAATTTTTTAAAAAAAACATAATAAACTGACCGATCACCAATTTGGTTACAGGGAAAAGCGTTCATGTGAATTACAGATATCATGGTTCGTAAAGTCAACAACGGATTTTATTGATAATGATGTTGAAGTTGACGCGTTGTTTTTGGATTGTTCGAAAGCATTTGATAAATGTGATCATCAAATCATTCTCGATGCATTGATTAAACTTGGTATTAACAGTCAAATGGTGCACTTGATAGCTGATTACTTAAAGGGCAGAAAGCAATGCGTTGTTGTTAACGGCCGTGTATCAAAAGTGATAGCTGTCACCAGCGGCGTCTCGCAAGGGTCGATTGTGGGGCCACGTTTCTTTATTTGCGTTCAAAATTTCTTGCCCTCGGCGCTCGTAAACAACAGCGAATTGCTCATTTTCGCCGACGACATAGCTCTTTACAGACCCATCTCTGCGAAAGCTGACGAAGTTGCGCTGCAGTCTGATCTCAGGGCGATAGAAAAGTGGGCAAGTGATCATAAACTAATTTTTAATGTTTCAAAATCTTACCATGTTTCTTTTTCGAAAAAACGAACACCGTACTGTGAATCAAAGTACTATCTCGGTGGCAACATGATCGAGAAAACCGATTGTGTTAAATACCTAGGTGTGATGTCCGACCGTAGTTTGAAGTTTAAAGAAAATACCAATAATTTAGTGATGAAATTACGGAAAAAAACGTGCTGGATTAATTTCGCATTTAGAAGAGCTGATTCTGCTGCTCGTATTCAGTTGTTCAAGTCTTTAGTGTTTACGTCCTTTGATTATTGCTGTCCTTTTATTGCGCCTGTCAACAAAACGTGCCGAGATAAGTTAGAGCGTTGTTTAGAGCGCTTTCTAGATACCATTTATCTTGGTAGTAACAGTTATAAAGAACAGTTAACGGAATTAAATTGGGATTGTTTTGAGTTGCGCAGGCTGAAACGGAGCCTTACATTCGTATACAAACTTGTTTTTAATCGCATCCCACTGGGAGAACGATTTTTCGTACCGTACGGACAAGCTGCTGCTGTCTTGTGTTTCAGGTAATACACGATCAGCAAGACGGCTATCAGCACATCCCTTCCCCATCCTGGCGGCACCTACAACATTGTGTGGAACGACTCTACCTCCTTCCCAGGACTCTCTCCCAAGCCGCTTGTCGCTCTTATGGAATGAAATTGTTTTGGACAAGGAAAGTTATGCCTCCCTCAGCTTGTTTACAAGTGCGTTGGATACCGTTAACTGGAGGAGACTGAACTCTATCAAAAGTTTTTGTAACATAAAGTTACTCAAGGAATGATTCGGCAAAAGTCACTTGCAGCGTTTTATACTTGTAGTATGACATTTCTTGTTTGTCGTCAGCTGATACCCCGATAGCATGTCTACCTTTTCGCAATTTGATAGTTGTGGACTTGTGGTTATGTGTTGTTATCTTAGACTATGTTAAAAACTGTCAAGTGCCTAGAGGGGACGTCTGTCCCGCTGCATAAGACAATAAATAAACGTAGTATTTTATATAAGACGTATTGACGTTTTAACGATCTTAATTTTTCACGTCCCGAAGTTCTCTTGTTCCGACGTTCTGAATTTCTGATGTTCTGACGTTTAAAACGTTTTATGTTTTGATGTTCTGACGTTCTGATTTCTGACATTCTGATATTCTGACGGTCTGACGTTTCTGAATTTTCGCGTTTTGACGTTCTGATGTTCTGACGTTGAGACGTTCAAAATTTCTGACGTTCTTAATTTTACACGTTCTGACGTTCTAATTTTTCTGACGTTCTAATATTCTGACTTTCTGATGTTCTGACGTCCTGAATTTCTGACGTTCTGACCTTTTACATTTTTTACGTTCTGAGGTTTTGATGTTCTGACTTTCTGACCATTCAAATTTTTCACGTTCTGACTTCTGATATTCTTACGTTCTGACGTTTTGATGTTCTGACTTTCTGACCTTTCAAATTTTTCACGTTCTGACTTCTGATATTCTTACGTTCTGACGTTTTGATGTTCTAACGTTCTGACCTTTTAAATTTTTCACGTTCTGACTTCTAATATTCTTACGTTCTGATGTTTTGATGTTCTGACGTTCTGAATTTCTGACGTTCTGACGTTTTGATGTTCTGACGTTCTGAATTTCTTACGTTCAGACATTGTAACGTTCTTAATTTTTTGCCTTCTGATTATCTGACATTCTGTTTTCTGACGTTCTGATCTTTTGATATTTTTACGTTCTGACGTATGCAGATAAGTACTGTATATGCGACATAAGGTGCGCTGTACTTTACCTTTTATGGACGTTTTCCAAATTAGGTAAATTTATGTACTATTAACACAATAATTATCATCTACACTAAAAAAGCAAGTACGAGTATTTATGCATCCGCTATAGTCTCCGTGGTTACAGTCATTATGTTAAGTACTTTTTATTGCTGTGCAGGAATACGTCTTCGAGTGCTCTTTACGTTTCCTATACTGTACTTAAGGGATTTGGCCCGGTACATAGCAACAAATTTGTATACATCCACGGCAACTTTCGCTGTCGCGCACTCCCAAACACTTTTTTGCATTGCTTTATGATGTTTTATAGCCAAAGGATTCGTATACATAGGCAAAAAAACCGTTTGTGCGCGCAACATCCGGTTCGGGAGTTATTAGTGAAACAAAATTCCAAAAGCTTAAACGCGGAGGTGTACCAAAAGTCTCATTATGAACCTATGCTCTTCAAATTTTGCACGAAAACACACATTACTATGAAGATCGTTTTGGTACCGAACCAGCTCTCTACCATTTTTTTCAAAATTTAAATTAATTTTTAAAATTTTTGAAATCATTTTAAAATTTGAAAAAAATATTAAAAAGCTGGTTCGGTACCAAAACGATCTTCATAGTAATGTGCCTTTTCGTGCAAAATTTGAAGAGCATCGGTTCATAATGAGACTTTTGGTACACCTCAGCGCGTTTAAACTTTTGGAATTTTATTTCACTAATAACTCCCGAATCGGATATTGCGCGCGTAAACGGATTTCAGGCCTACGTATACAAATCCTTTGGCTACAAAATGTCATAAAGCAATGCAAAAAAAGTGTTTAGGAGTGCGCGACAGCGAAAGTTCCCGTGTAGGTACCCGAATTTGGTACTATGTACCGGGCCAAATCCCTTAAAACCTGGTAAAACCATCTTCTGACCACTGGTTAATAAAGAAAAACAAAAATCTATTGGCACACCTATGGAAAATATGGAATTTTTTAAGGCCAAGCTGGACTAAAACTGACCACGCGTTGACGAGTCTATAAAAACGGCGCATAAATACGTTTTAGTCGGTAAGATTGTATGAATACAAGGTAGCCTCGCGCATCCGCGCTCGGCACTTATGTACTGGATAGTATTAGCTTTATTTGGAAAGGTCATTAAAAATATAAAAAAGCCAGAATTATAGAAGAAAAGTTTTTTAAGACTATGATTTTAATCGTATATAGGCTTTCGTAGTCGTATTTGATAAGACGTATTGATGTTTTAACGATCTTAATTTTTCACGTTCCGACGTTCTCATGTTCCGACGTTCTGAATTTCTGATGTTCTGACGTTTAAAACGTTTCACGTTCTGATGTTCTGACGTTCTGACTTCTGACATTCTGATATTCTGACGGTCTGACGTTTCAGAATTTTCACGTTTTGACGTTCTGATGTTCTGAGGTTGAGACGTTCAAAATTTCTGACGTTCTTAATTTTATACGTTCTGACGTTCTAATTTTTTTGACGTTCTAATATTCTGACTTTCTGATGTTCTGACGTCCTGAATTTCTGACGTTCTGACCTTTTAAATTTTTCACGTTTTGATGTTCTGACGTTCTGACCTTTCAAATTTTTCACGTTCTGACTTCTGATATTCTTACGTTCTGACGTTTTGATGTTCTGACGTTCTGCCCTTTCAAATTTTTCACGTTCTGACGTTTTGATGTTCTGACGTTCTGACCTTTTAAATTTTTCACGTCCTGACTTCTGATATTCTTACGTTCTGACGTTTTGATGTTCTGACGTTCCGATCTTTTAAATTTTTCACATTTTGACGTTTTGATGTTCTGACGTTCTGACCTTTCAAATTTTTCACGTTCTGACTTCTGATATTCTGTTCTGACGTTTTGATGTTCTGACGTTCTGCCCTTTCAGATTTTTCACGTCCTGACTTCTGATATTCTGACGTTCTGACGTTTTGATGTTCTGACCTCTAAAATTTTTCACGTCCTGACTTCTGATATTCTGACGTTCTGACGTTTTGATGTTCTGACGTTCTGAATTTCTGACGTTCTAACCTTTTAAATTTTTCACGTTCTGACTTCTGATATTCTGACGTTCTGACGTTTTGATGTTCTGACGTTCTTAATTTCTTACGTTCAGACATTCTAAGGTTCTTAATTCTGATTATCTGACATTCTGTTTTCTGACGTTCTCATCTTCTGATATTCTGAGTACTGTATATGCGACATAAGGTGCGCTGTACTTTACCTTTTATGGACGTTTTCCAAATTAGGTAAATTTACGTACTATTAACACAATAATTATCATCCATACTAAAAAGCAAGTACGAGTATGTATGCATCCGCTATAAGGGAATTTTAGATTTCTCATGGTTCAGGCTCCGTCCACTAGAAACTACTGCGTCACATAAACAGTACGTTACCAGATTGAACAGCGTTTAAAATGCTTGTACGGATGCACACTTGCAGTGACGTACAGCTGAAAAATAAATCGAGTCGAGAGTGCCGAGAGCGTGACCAACCTGCTCTCGGGGAGGCGGTTAGAGCACATAAAAAAGATCCACAGGCAGCATGCGCTGGCTTGTCGCTCAGCCATACGGCTGAGCCGTTGCACAGATCCACGCAAGGCAGATAGTTTTTACGCGTCAGCCAACGACGTTAGGTTACGGCGCCTTACGTCGCGAACGGACGTAAATCAACCCGTAACGCCAACTTCTACCCGCAAGTCGAACTGGACGGAACTTGTTTTGTGAAATCTAAAATTCGCTATAGTCTCCGTGGTTACAGTCATTATTTTAAGTACTTTTTATTGCTGTGCAGGAATACGTCTTCGAGTGCTCTTTACGTTTCCTATACTTAAAACGTGGTAAAACCATCTTCTGACCACTGGCTAATAAAAAAAAAACAAAAATCTATTGGCAAACCTATGGAAAATATGGAATTTTTTAAGACCGAGCTGGACTAAAACTGACCACGCGTTGACGAGTCTATAAAAACGGCGCATAAATACGTTTTGGTCGGTAAGATTGTATGAATAGCCGCGCGCATCCGCGCTCGGCACTTAAGTACTGGATAGTATTGGCTTTGTTTTGGAAAGGTCATTATAAATATGCAAAGGCTGACGTTCGGAATTTCAGAAGTTCTGACAATTTTAATTTTTCACGTTATGAAGAATCTGATTTTCTGAGGTTCTAACGTTATGACGTTCTTACGTTCTAACGTTCTGATGCTCTTATTTTATGACGTTCTTACGTTTTGACGTTCTGGCGTTCTGACGTTCTGACGTTCTGATGTTCTTACTTTATGACGTTTTGATGTTCTGGCGTTCTGAAGTTCTGAACGTTTTGACGTTCTGACGTTGTTACGTTCTGGCGTTCTTAACGTCCTAACGTTCTGACGTTGTTACGTTCTGGCGTTCTAACGTTCTCACGTTCTGACGTTCTGATGTTCTTACTTTATGAAGTTCTTACGTCAGAACGTCAAAGTTCTGTTCGTTCTAACGTTTTGACGTTCTGACGTTGTTACGTTCTGGCGTTCTAACGTTCTCACGTTCTGACGTTCTAGTGTTCTTACTTTATGACGTTATGACGTCCAGCGTTCTTACGGTGTTACGTTCTAACGTTCTAATGTCCTAACGTTTTGACGTTCTGACGTTCTAACGTTCTAACGTTCTGACGTTCTTACGTTCTAACGTTCCGATGTTCGTGCTTTATGACGTTCTTACGTTCTAACGTTCTGATGTTCTTACTTTAGGACGTTCT